GGATGTTAACGGCACGCAGGGCATCCCCGGGGGAAGCTGCGATCCATCTTTCCTGGCGGCCGAGTTCCTGCGCATTGACCGCCCGCTCGATAGCGGAGCCAGCGCCGCTTCCTGGCGCTGCCAGGGCTGCTGGAAAGGCAGGATGGGAGCTGAGCACGCAGGAAGCTGAGTAGGCAGCAGCCCGAAATAGCAGGACAGGGAGCGCAGTCCTGGCTCCGAGTGCCACCCCGAGCCCCGGCAGCTCCCACCCCAGCAGGAGGGCACCTCGGGGCTCTCGCTGCCCGTGCCTGCTGGCTTCAGCTTCGACCTAAAAGGAACCTGCCAACCACTCACTACAGCCATTGAGATAAATCCCAAGCTGCTCTCCGTGCCCCCGCCACCCCCCAGGCATCTTCTTATTGAAGGAACGACGATTTTCCTTCCAGTTCTCTCCCTGCTTGTGATTTATCATCACAAATGATAAATTATCTCTGTACAGAAAAAAATGCCCTCTGCAGCACTGGCGAGGAAGCCAAGGTGGGCGCTGGCAGGGAGGAGTTGTGCCCTCGGCCGAGACCTGGGTTTGACACCTCGGGCAAACCCTTGAAAACCACCACACAGCAGTCCTAGGCTTCACAGCAAAAGCTAAAATCCCTACAAGACTGCATTTCCCCTCTCATTGAGCTTTCAGTGTTAAATTCTCCTTCACGGTGCTCACACAGACCGGGCTGGCTCCCAGGCAGTGCCGAGAGGCAGAAGAGGAGGACAAACAGCCCCTGGCCTCCCAGCCAGAGACAGCTACAAGCAGGGAACCAAGGGCAAGTCCAGACCAGACACGGTGTTTTGCACTTTTCCTCTTGTAGATAAGCTATTACTGTAAAAGATTACCCTAAAAGATGTATGATCAAATTGGAGGGGAAAAAAAAATGCAGCCTTGGTTGTACTCAGGAAATACTGCTCAGCGAGGCAGTGGCTTCTTTTGCATAAGCTGCTTTTGGCGGGTGGGACATCTCACACTGCCCACGAAACCAGCCCCAAAGGGAAAACCAGCACAAGCCACAAGTCAAGAACAGTGACTAATTTCTCATGAAGTTTTAATGACAGCTTTAAGCACCAAAGGACAGAAAACACTCAGGAGTGATTAGCAGCTCTATTGATGGCAAGTAAAGCAAAGAAATTCTCTTAACACTAACATTTTTCCCTTTTAGCTCCTGAATTTTGATGCTGGGCTAGAACACCACACGGCTAGAAGGGAAGGCCAGGCCGGAACTGGAGCTGATCCCGGCCTCCCTGCTGGTCCCTGGACACTGGCTCTCTGTGGGCACATGGAACGGGGCCACGAGTCACTGCCTCGTGTCACCAGTGCCCGGGCTCACTGAGGGCCTCCCCGAGACGAGGGTGACCTCTCCATTTCCTTCCCTTTCCCTCACAGGTGGCTGCGGATGCAGGGAAAGGGAAAAGAGGAGCCAACGGAGGAGGGGGTTGGGGCCGAGCTAGCGAGGACGAAGGCAGCGAGAACCTGGTCTCCCATCTCGGAGAGACCCCTCCAACCCGCCAGCGGTCCCACAGAAAGAAACACGTTTGCCAAAGGCTCCGCTGCCTGTGGCGTGTGGACGGGCGGGGGCCAGCGACTGCCACAGACCAGGGCCTTGTCTGAGGAGGCCTTGGCCATGGGGAAGGGCAGGAGCGGGAGAGACAGTGCAGAGCCTGGGGCAGTTGAGCAGCTGCCTGTGCCGATAGGAGCCCCGTGGCCGCTGCTGGGAAAGGAGCCCGGGAGAGCAGCGGGAACAAAGGTCCTGTGAGCGCCAGGAAGCGGCGCTGGGCGCCTCACAGGCCGCCTCACAGGCCGGGGTTGGCGCCTGCCGCCTGTGGCGCCACTTGCTGCCACAGGCCGCGCCGGGCAC